AAGTGTGAGGTTAGAATTAAACGTCATTTATATTATTTTACATTGTTGACGCGTTGTCTACATTGTCTACACGTAAAGTAGACAATGAAAGTCTACGTGTAGACGCACATCCCTGCACAAGAGTACGCTGTTGAAATCGGAACGGCAAATGACAGTAAAATCAGCACAGTAAATCCAGTACTGGCAGTTGATATCGGAACATAGCCTTCGCCTATGTTCCGATATCAACTGTCAGTACTGAATTTACTGGACGCCGTTCCGATATTACACTGGATTCAGTCGATTCAGTACTGAATGACCACAAAAGTACGCTGTTGAAATCGGAACGGCAAATGACAGTAAAATCAGCACAGTAAATCCAGTACTGGCGGTTGATATCGGAACATAGCCTGGCACGGTACAAATCTAGCGCGTGGCGCCCCAGAGGTGCTCTAGAACGCGCCAGAGCGCGCCAATGTGCATACTGAGCCGCTTTCCAGTATGGGAGTTTGACGCCCGGAGCTACTCGGGGCGTTGAGCTCCCGAGCTGTACGTACCCATCAACCTGTCAGTTGTCACATCCGTGGGTGGGGGCGCTTTCTTTTATTCAGCGGTGGATCCATCAGTAATCAGCCTTTCTTTGTCTAGCTCATAGAAAATAGGAATGTCTGTCTTATTATGATGGCAGCAGATGGATGCATTGCTGAATAAAAGAACGCGCCCTGGCTATTCATTTAAGCCGCTTTCCAGCTGTGTGTTTCAAGCACGGTGCAGCACAGTGTTCTGTGATTGAAACGCAAAAGTTAGCAAGCTCTCGAAGCGCAGTACGGCTGGAACACGAACGCGCGCTTGAAGCATTTGCGCGCGCAAAAGCTCGATTGCGTGCTCAAAAGCGTCAGCTGGAAAGCGGCTTTATTTGTTTCTTGTTATATCTCGGGATCGAACATTTCCAAAATCTAGTTTTAATTTTCTTTAATTTTTAATAAATAAAAAACAAACTGCACCAACAAACAGATAATTATTTTTAAAATTTGACATATTTGACACTAAGACAGGCGTCTCACGCTATGATACTGGAACGGTACAAATCTAGTGCGTGGCGCCCCCGAGGTGCTCTGGAGCGCGCCAATGTGCATACTGGAAAGCGGCACATACTGTATTCCTTTTACCCGTTGAGTTACTCGGAGCTGGTCAATGTCAAAAGCTTGAACGTTCCTTTTAAAAGTGCGTTAAGCATTCGAGTCGCTCATAGTGCATCCCCCTTTCCCCTGATGCACCAAATTTACGGGGGGTGCAAGCAAGAAGCCCTTTTAGGTAATGACGGTAATGTTAATATTAAAAAATAATGATAAAATCTGAATTGTATGTGAGCTCGTTCGGTGTAACTCGATGTATAAAAGGAATACAGTATAAGAAGTGCTGCCCCGAAAAACACAAACAAACCTTTAATTTGTGTTTAGAAATAACTTGGTGCCCGTATGGTGTAAAGATGGTGGGGTCAACTCAGTACAAAGTGATGGTGTACTCGGTGGTGTAACCGATTACACCTCCATCTCGTGATATAACCCTGGGCCGAGTTCAGAAATACCGCACATGGTGTGAGTGCGATTTTATGGGTGTGTCTGAATTGACAATTGGCTAATGGGCCCATAACACCGTCTAAAGTCTGTTTTTTTTTTTAAAGATAAAAGTCAAAATGACATTATGTTGGCAATAAAATATAAAATTGTCAATGCTTCAAATTTTTTTATGTAGAAAAGGCTTGTGTTGCCAACATAAACCGAATTTTCGCGATTAATGTAGTTCATCTAAGGATGAACCATAGTTCGTCGGTGACGACATTAGATTGAACGCTGGCTTGAAGCTGCGTACACGCTTCCGTTGAACTATGTTCAATATGACGTCATGAGTTTCTCGCGAAAGCGTTTGTGTTCATGAAATCATGGAAGTAGTTCGTCGCGAAAATTCGGTTATTGTTAACTAAATTTTTGACTTGGGGAATTATCTTTAAAAAAAACTTTAGCATTTTTGAACAGCTAGGGCGTCGCATCGGTGTCACACTCACACAGAGCCGCTTTCCAGTATGCACATTGGCGCGCTCTGGCGCGCTCCAGAGCACCTCGGGGGCGCCACACACTAGATTTGTACCGTTCCAGTATCATGACGTGAGACGCCTGTCTTAGTGTCAAGTATGTCAAATTTTAAAAATAATTAGCTGCTTACGATCAAGCACTTTTCTTACCTAACTTAAAGAATCTAACTTAGTTGCGCGTACTATCTATCACAACTAAGTTAGAATCTGCCTTCCCCCCTTTCCCCTGCTAAGACACCCGGATTTTTAACTGAGATAACTTAGCTGACCTAAGTTGGCGCGAAGTACGCATTTTTTGAATTTTGACGTTTAATAATTTCTAAATTGAGGTTGTTTCCTCATTTTTATTTTGTTGAAAGTTGGTCGTTGGAAAAGGAACTTTGAAAAGGTGTTTAGTTTAATGAAATTTATTATTCATTATTGCCATTGCACGCGTCATGACACTTCTAGGTAGATAATTGTTCATTTTTAATGTGAAATAAATTGTGCTGTAGTACAAAAACAATTCAGTTTCAATTTCAATTGAAAATAAATTAATAGAAACAACAAACTGAACCTGAAACTCTCGTCGTAACTAGAACCCGAACTAGAAATACGTGACGTGAGTCGTAACTTGATAGGCAGCTGATCAGCCTATATGAATTGCGCGTACGATCAAACAACTTAGCTCAGCTAAGAAACTAACTTTAACTTAGGTAAGAAAAGTGCTTGATCGTAAGCAGCTAATATCTGTTTGTTTGTGCAGTTTGTTTTTTTATTTATCATAAATGAAAGAGAATCAAAACTATATTTTTTAAAATGTTCAATCTTGAGATATAACAAGAAATAAATAGCCACCCACGGATGTGACAGCTGACAGGTTGACGCGTACGTACAGCTCGGGGGCTCAACGCCCCGAGTGGCTCCGGGCGTCAAACTCCCTAACTGGAAAGCGGCTCTGGGTGTGTCATTCCTGAACTCGCTCCTGCACTACACTAACACCGCAATAACCGTGCGTTCGGTATTTTGATCTGAGTTCTCCGAGCTTGAATTTACCATTCGTTTATTTAACAAAAATTTCGGGCACTCAGATACAGCGTTCAATTGCTCTGTTCGCTCGCTGGTCACGTGATGACGGCTCCGCTCAGCACGCTCTGCTCTTTGAGCAAAATACCGAACGCAAGAGCCGCTTTCCAGCGTGGGAGTGTGACGCCCGGAGCTACTCGAGGCAGCTCCCGAGCTGTACGTACCCGTCAACCTGTCAGTTGTCACATCCGTGGGTGGCTATTTATTTATTTGTTTCTTGTTATATCTCGGGATCGAACATTTCCAAAATATAGTTTTGATTTTCTTTGATAAATAAAAAACAATCTGCACCAACAAACAGATAATTATTTTTAAAAATTGACATATTTGACACTAAGACAGTCGTCTCACGCCCTCGAGGCTCGAGGTGCTTATTGGCGCGCTCTAAAGCATACTGGAAAGCGGCTAAGGTAAAATCCCATTCCGAACTCAACTGTGGTGACCAGAGCTGCTTTCGGGTGCCACCTTTTCAGCGCTCTCGAGTTACTCCGAAGTACTCCAGCTACAGTTTGACCCGTTCGGTATCAAGCGTTTGAGTGCAAAACGCATGGAGTATGACAGGTCACTGACAGGTGTGAAGTGTTCTAGGAGCTTCGCACACTGCACCCGAAAGCGACTATGACATACGTCACCCTATGTTAAGCAGCACCAAGAGTTTACCCAACGTATTCTGTGTATTTGTAAACTTAAACAATCCGTTTTGGTTCTGGTGAACGTAGCCACTAAAGGTCTGTTTCCACAGAAGGCACAAACCAGTTGGAGCGTTTTTGATTGGTTCAAATCGCCAACAACCAGTTTCCTGCTGACTATTTTTAACCAATGGAATTCGCTCTGATTAGTTTGGGATTTCTGTGGGAACATATCCTAAATGAAATCGCCATTAGAATTTCGGAATAACAAATCACAAATCTTAAAACAGTGAAATGTATGGCAACACTGTAGTTTCCGTTTTCGCCAAGGCGTGGCTTTCCCACTAAAATGCCTGTCGCAGGAAACGTCAAGTGTCAAAAAATGGGTTTTTCCAGTCTAGGGATGCGCAAAATTTTGAAAAAATCGATGTTGACATCAAATGATACATCGAATATGCAACATCGGCTTGAAAATATCGATGTTTCTAAACATCGATGTTTTTGAAAATATGGTAAGAAAAAATTAAACTGTCAATAAATAGAATATCATTTTTACTTAACCTACTTATGTATTTTTAATATAATATACATACTCAAATATACGATTTATAATGAAGAAAAAGTACATTTGGAAGCAAACAATAAGCAAGAACTAAGCACTAGGGACCTAGGGAGTAAATCTAGTTAGATACTTGACGACTTAAATGATATGAATACGAATAACAATCATATTTGAATCACAATTATCATTCAAGAACAGCAATTTTGACTTTTTTTTTCCTTTTTTTGTTGTGTCAAAGTTTGTCCTGCATTTGAGAATAGTCCCCCATATGGAACCGAAGCTGCTACAACGCCCAAGTATTTTGAAGCTATCTTTGATAGTCGCAGATATACTATAGACATATACACTCTTTATTTCTTCCCAATTTTCAACAAATAGAATTTCATCAAATTTTGCTAAGGGACTGAAAGTACTGGTGTAGTATTTAGAAGAAAACATCGAAAAAACATCGCAAAAAAATATCGATGTTCTCTAATAATATCGAAAAAAAAAAACGTCGATATAAACATCGAAAAAGGAAAATCGATGTTTTTGAAACATCGATACATCGTGCGCATCCCTATTTTCCACCACTGGATCCAAAAATAAAAATAACATCCTCCCTCTCTTTTAATTTTTCCTCCGGTTTTTAATTTGGAATCATACAATTACTCAGGAATTTTAACCGATCGAAATGTCTTCGAAAAAGTCTAGTCCGGAACCAGGGGCGGCCGAAGACCCCGAAGAATACGGTGTCGAAAAAATCATCGATTTTCGCATGGAAAACGGCGTCAAAGAGTATTTGTTAAAGTGGATAGGTTATGATGACAAAGATAATACATGGGAACCTGAAGGTAAGAATTGTTATGTTGGCATTTTTGCTATTTTAATTTAAACGATCTCTATATCCAAAGCTTTTTTTAATGGCATAAGAATCACAAGAGAAAACCTTTATAATATTTATACTTATTTCTTTAAGGTAATCTCGATTGTCCAAGCCTTATAAAAGCCTTCGAAGCCGATCGCGAAGCAAAAGAGGCTGAAAAAAGCAAAAAAAGAAAAAGTACAGGGACCCTAACCTCCGAATTGAAGTCGGGCAAAAAACCATTCAAACCTGACGAAAAAAAATTACTTGGTTTTGACAGGGGCCTTGAGCCCGAAAAGATACTTGCAGCAACAGACAGCTCAGGCCCTCTAATGCTTTTAATGAAATGGGTTGGAACGGACGAGGCCGATCTGGTGCCAGCCAAACAAGCTAACGTTAAATGCCCACAAGTAGTCATAAAATTCTATGAGGAACATCTATCTTGGAACTCGCCCAGTGTTGAAACAGAGAAACATAACCTGTAATGTTCTTAGGGTAATACATTGATTTTGCCATGACCAGGAGGACTTGTTATTTGCCCGGTTTTGAATTTATTTAGAGTAAATTTAGGGTGCTTATGGTTTGAGAAAATTTTCTTTTTTTGATGAAATACTTCCCTTTTTTTGTGACCGAATTTGATGGCTATAGGTCTGTTTCTGCAGAAATCACAAACCAGTCAGAGCGAATTTCATTGGTTGAAAATAGTTAGAAAACTATGTAGATTCAACCAATAAAATTTACTCTGACTGGTTTGTGATTTCTGCAGAAACAGACCTATTATGTTTCGAGGCTATTTTTATGTTTTGAGGCTATTCACTTCAAATTATTGATTCATCGATATATTAATTATTGAATTCCTCTATTTTGTAATTTTTAAGTTGAATTTAAGGTGCTTGAGCAAAGTATTTTATATTATAGTTTCTTATATTGTGTTCAAACTTGAGCGTACCTCTAGATATTAGGCCATTTCGGGTTTGGAAAAAGGACGGTTCTAGAACGGTTCAAAACAATCGTCCAGTTTATTGATCAACAAAATAACAACGACTCGACTATCACAAATTTCAATAATAAACTGCGATTCTTCTGGACCCTTCTAGAACTGTACTTTTTCCAAACCCGAATAGGCCTTATGTTTAGGGCTTTCAACTCAAATTAGAATTATTGATCTAAATATTTTTCAATTACCTAATCGATTACTGAGTTTCTAATTAGTTATCTATATGTATGTAGATATGTATGTAGTAGTTTTGCGATAAGTTAAATTAAGATTTCGAAAATAAGTATTGTTTTATTTGGATTTGTATACACACACACATTTCTATTCATAATCGGTTAGAAAAAATAACTAGGTATAAAGCCTTCTTTTCATGCATTCGTTTATCCGTTGATCCGGAAGTATTCTTAATTGGTCCAATATTCTGGCGCCAAAATATTGGGCCAATAGGAATACTTTCGGATCAAGGGATTGACGGATAAAGGGATGCATGAAAAGTAACCATAAGGCAAGGATGATACACACTACTAAGAGCCATATTCTCCGTAGTTCATAAAGCTTGGCTTTTTGTGTGACAAAGTCGAGCTTTTCCACTAAGCCAGGCTTTATGAACTACGCAGAATATGACCCTATGGATTGCTTATCGGCCTCGTTTTTGGCCGATATTAGTGAATCACCATTGCCGACGTCATAAGTAATAATCTACCTGTCGGTTGGTAACTAAGTGTCAAGGATAATACACACGACTAAGGATTGCTTATCGACCTCGTTTTAGGCAATCGTCGCCATATTGGTGTGTCACCATTTTTGACGTCATAACTAAGTCGTCAGCTATTTGCACTAGCGGTCGTAATTTAGAATTTAAATTTATGGAGAAAATTATTATTTAGTTTTGATTTAACATAATAGGCAAAGAGGAAGATGGAAACGAGATCTGAAAAAGGGTTGTTTTAGAATGTTAATTATTGTAATAAAGCGTAGCATAAAGCAAAAGCCCGCGGAATCATAACCTGTGGTATAAACAGCCTACGTCAAGTCGAGAAAGGACATGCTGTTTACGTCACAACTAGTGATTTGGCGTGGTGAGAGGCTTCGATTTATTCACCGTTACTTGTATACCGTAAAACCCTGTACATATTCAAATTTTATTTATTTCCATTTTTTCAAAATATACCTAAACAAAATAAACGTTTTATTTTTATTTTTAACTTCTTTCCAAATTCAATGAAAAACAAGTGGCAAAAAACTGGCAACTATCGTCAGTTTTTCGAATTTACTCAACACTCCTCTAAAAACCATCTCCTTACATCGTTGGCTTGGTGGCTCCAATGGTGTAGCCATCGTGAAACGCTGATGGAAAAAACAACATATATGATGGACCATCGACTGTTCTTTTGTTGAATTTAACAACGCTCAGAGGTCGTTTTAACGACGCTGCCAACGTTACTTCAACAGTTGAATAAAACAACAAGCGTTATTGTTAGAAAGTTTTTTCAGGTAATGACCAACGTGAATTCAGTGATACAACGGTCCCTGTTTGGGAATCGACCCACTGAGCAGTGGACTCAGGCTTCCAGTGTTGCCAACAGTAAGTTATCAAAATGCTCCCCATTTGTAGTGAAAACGCTCACATTGTGTTCACATGTACTAAAAATAACGTCAATGTCAAAATATCAATAAAGAGTTTTTGGACGTGCAATAGAAAGTTCTCGTGCCTCAGACGCTACGCTAATACGGTACCGCTAACAATACGGTATTTTAGATGGTATTTTATAGTTCTCGTACCTACACGAAGACACAAAAATCCTCTAATCCCTTATTTTGTTTATATTTTGACTGCTGAATTGAGTGATCAAACCTAACTTTTTTTGCTTGTTTGCCAACTTTTATTCATCCTGAAGATTCCTGAGTTTCATTAATGTCCCTTGGTGTTTTTCATGGAGGAATTATCAGAAGTTGCTGTTGTTGCAGACATAAATGGAGCGTAAACTCGGTTTGACATAGCATAGCGTTACGGTAAAGCATCCGCTAACTCCCGTTAGGTAGCGTGCTCCGCTAACGCTAATACCGTAAGAACTGTCATTCTTGTCAAATAACGTTACGGTATTTGAAATTTGGACAGCACGAGAACTCTCTATTAAGGACAAGCAGTATTTAAATTAGCCTTATTTTGACATCTACGCATGCGCATTTGAGTCTGAAAATACTACTTGTCTTTATTTGTGTATGGTTAGTGCGAGGCAGTAAACTTCCCTTATTTCAATATTTATGACATATTTGACGGATATGACGTTTCGCTTTTCGACGATGATGTAATTTTACTCAAAGAATTTGTTTTTTACAATAGTTTTTCCTTTTCCTATAGGTAACATCAAAAAATGGGTATCAGCCATAGTTATTATACTACGTAGGTATATCGCGGGTTGGTTTGAGTTCTTGAAGCAAACATTATGAGATAGAACGATAATATGCCTTCTTTGTCTAAAGTGAACTTGTTTTTTTCAATGCGCATGCGTCAATTTCAAGTTATTCCTCCAATAAGATTTCATTTTAAACAGCTGATATTGCAGGGTTGCCAATAAAATTATTTTCAACTTCGAGTTATTTAAATATTCACAAGAAACATAACGAATTTTGTATTTTGTTGCGTGTAACACATACTCGATTTCGACAAATAAACCAATATATTCATTTTTATTAGTGTTTTGGAATCAAAATACAATCGACCAAATTATAACCTCAAAAAATGATCCTAATTCATTGTACTTTTTAGCTGGACATGGCAACACGGCACGAAAAGCTTGATGCAAAATGGCAACCGCCGGCCAATAAGAATCTAGAGCTTAACGCAAGCGCAGTTCCATAACCTCGTTCTCCTTCGTTTGACAAAGATAGACTTATGTGAGATCATATAACTTTTTCTCTCTTTGTTTGCTTCAAAAACCACACATTGGGTAAATGGGAAAGGCGCGATATATGTTAGTATAATAGGTATATGGTATCAGCAGAAATTCACATACAAAAATAAAGGGCAAGTTTTTAAATTCATCAATCGCTTCTGCCCATTTCTCCTGATGGGCAACCTATCCTTGTTTTGCTGCTGTCAAATGACAAGGACAGCAATACATCGGTAAAAATACGCATGTGACATTGATGATTTTAAAAACTTGCCCAAACACTTTATGAGGTTGAAATTTATAAAAATTGCTATCAGCTGTCAAAATTATGAATATAAATAAGGTAATAATACTACAGTCTAGTCTCCAATAACTGTTATTTTCTTGGAGAAATAGTGCTGATGCACTAATAAAATAACGTAGATCCTTGATACTGCGAGGCAGTATTTAATAGTTCCAATAACTCTCTAATAGTTTTCGAGTTTTCCAGTATTAACGTATCAACATTTGACATTAGACTACGGGAAAACCAGGCTGATGTACATTATCTTTTTTCAATCGTGTTCATTGGAAAAAGATAAACACAAACCAAACAGCTGGTGATCGGCTGTTGCAATCCAAGGTACAGTGGCTAAATAAACCTTTACATACAGTGGCGACAATAGAGGTCCCGCCGCCATTTTGTTCCCAACCTCTTGTTACTTTTAAATATGAATTTATAAGTTTTAAATGGACATCTTTCATAAAAAATTGAAATCGACGTATTTGATGACTATTATTAGGTCCATCAAATACGTTGTTTTCCATGTTTTGTGATGGATGTTCACCCAAATCCCATATATTCATATTTGAAATAAGCAATAGATGGGAACAAGATGGCGGCGTTTTCAATATAAATATATGGGATTTTAGAACCAATCGAAAATAAGACAGCAATTGTCGCCACTGTGGGAAATAGAGTCACTGTAATCCAAGGAGAATACACACTCTAGGTGCGTTCGTTTATTCGATCTGTCCACACCGTGCGCTCGAAATTGCTAAATATCGTTCGTTTATTCTTTTTCGAGCGTTTCGAGCAAAATTTTCGCGTTCGTAAATACGTCGGAAGAGCGTATCGAGCTCGCTCATTTCGCTCCGTACTTCTATCCCGTGCGATCTGCCGACTCCCTCGGTCGAAATCGACCAACTCATCCTTGCGTTCGGTATTTTGCTCAAAGAGCAGAGCGTGCTGAGCGGAGCCGTAATCACGTGACCAGTGAGCGAACAGAGCAGTTGAACGCTAATTAAAATTGCCAGAAATTTTAATAAACGAACGCGAATGAGGCTGCACCGAGTACACTTTTTAAATAAACGAACGGTAAAGTCAAGCTCGGAGAACTCGGACCAAAATAACGAACGCACGGCATGAATCTACGTGTGAACGTTCAAAATTATTGCGCTGTTGCCAGCATTATTTGATACAGAAGATTAGGTATTTTCAACCTTTTTTTTGATACGGTTTTCATAATTTTCTGTCATTTCTGTCATTCATGTTTTTTGATATTTTTTTTTCATAAATTATTTCAATAATAATGAAAAAGCCCTGCCTTCTGCA